CCCCCCCCCCCCAGGTCCCTGCTCATGCTGCACGCAGACGCTCTTTGCTTCCTCCGCCTCCACTGGGCAATGCTGCAACCCGGTGCCCTGGCCACTGCGGGACTTTCCCTCTGTGCTTCTCAGCGATCCTCACCTGTTTAAGTCCTTTAATCCACACTCTGTGCTTGGGAAGGAGAAAACTCATGGGAACCTTAGGCGGGAAAGGGCTTTGACTTTCTGTAATCAAGCGAGACCAATCCAAGTGTAAAAATCCTTTTGACTGATATCTTTATAAACGTTTCTTTCACGCGTATTTAAGTGCAATCAATTTGTCACAAACTTGTCTGTTTCTGAATTACCGTAAGGTAATGAATTGGTACTTCTGCTGTAACTTCCTGTCCTGTGGGGCTGAAAGCAAGACATGGCTTACAATAAAGGTATCCAGGGCAAAATCTTTTGCCAGGCGCAGTGTATGATCTGGTGATGAAACATGCAGGTTCTGAATATAAACAACACTTTATGGGACTTCCCTGACAGTCCATTGGTTAAGACTGCACGTCCACGTCCCCCTTCCAGGTGACATCGGTTCAATCCCTGCTCAGGGAATTGAGATTACGCATGCTACGCAGGTTCAATGCCTGGGTCAGGAAGATCCCCTGGAGGAAGAAATGGTAACCCACTCCCGTATTATTGCCTAGGAAATCCCATGCATAGGAGCCTGGCAGGTTACAGGGTTGCAAAGCGTTGGACAGGACTTAGCAACCAAACAGCAACAACAAAAGCTTTATTAGCCTTAAAAAAAAAAAAAAAAATATATATATATATATATATATATAAGTTCAAATATGCTTAAAAAAGATCAATAATTTTTACTAGAAAAAATGTATAGAGCTATTATGTACTTACTGAACTAGTCTTATTTCTGTCCTTTGATTAAACTGAATGCTTAGTTAAGGCTGGACACAGTTAACAGCTTCCAGTTACTCTTAGAATCAAATTCTAATTCCTACACAGCTGTGTAAAGCCTAGGTTATCTGGCCCCTGCTCCCTCCCACCCCACCCCTGATTTCTGGGTAATTTCATAATAGGCTCCCTGCTCTCACTGATCTAAGCCACAGCGGCCTTTCTGCCATGAGACCCTGTCCACTCTGCAGAACCCCTGGCTGGCGACTTAAGTCATCCAGGGCTGGGAGCAAAGAACCCCAGGGCTTTCTGCTCCTCATGATTCCGAGTCAGCTGCCAGCGCTGGTCTCGTTGGCCTTGGAGAAGGGTGACCCACAGTCGGGTCTGGGGGACGCTGACTGCCGGGACACAGTTCTCCAGTGGGCTTTTCCCGCAGCTGCAGCATGGGTCCAAGCGCGAGCACTCGATTCATTCCACACCCAGCAGTGGGACGCAGACTCTTGCCTTTTATGGGCAGAGCAGCAACGACCACACAGTCCTTTGAATCCCACAACAAACAGGACTCTTCTGAAAGCTTTCCAAGCCTCCTCCCCTTCAAGTACCATCTCTTCCTGGGGGATCTTCCCTAATGCTCCTCACTGCCCGCATCCCTCACTGTCTCACTGCAGAGTCTGAGTTTCTTCCTATCATTACAATTATCTACTATCCACTGAGCAGGATTTTAACTAACTCACATCTTTATCTTTTCTGCCACAAGGAAGACAACTGAGTTCAGTACAGACAGCACAGAGAACATCAGTCAGCAAAAGGCACTTTGGTAAAACTAATTTAAATGGAAATGACATTTTTTTGGTCTCTTCTGTCCAGACCAAAGAAAAAAAGAAAGATCTATGTTTAAGTTCAAGGTAGAAAGCTACCTGAGGCTTCTCCAAATTAATTAGTTAATTTAGAGCTTCAGTCTCCAACAGTAAAACATCAGTAAAAAAATTTAAAAAGTAACTTTTTCAAGATTACTCCAAAAACAAATCACCCCTCAGCTGAACCTCTGGTCAGTCCACGTTTGCCAGGAGAGCTGACCGAGGACACACATGAGGGCTGGTGGCCCCATCCCTGGAAGCGCAGGGGCCACCAGCGGGCAGCCCCAAGGACCCCCACTCAGCCCCTCCCGCAGGCCCAAGACGCAGCCAGGCTATTGGCACCAGACCTGAGAAGTCAATCCAGGTACAGAAGGCTGTACTATAAGGAATAAACAAGTTTCTATATAGTTAAAAAAAAAAAGATCAAATCACTACGGTGTTTTTACATTTTATTTTTGTTATGAATGATAGACCTATTCAGTAATTTTACTCTTTTTATTTAAATAAAGATAAGGCTACTTAAAAGACCGTTGACATACAAAAATGTACATTACAAGGTTAAACTCTGTACTGAATTACAAAACAAGCATTTAATAAAAGAGCACACTTATAACATCATGGCCACTCTGGAGCCTCTAAGGATGACAGGTCCCACAGCAATCAGCAGAGGAAGCGTGTTCTGACAGACCTATGACTTCACCTACAGGCAGTTTCACTTAAGTTTTTAGAAGGTCAGTGCTATCAGATGAGTCTCTAGCTCAGTTTTAGAATCATCTCTCAAAACTTAAGGTAACCAAAATGCTATTTCAAATAATAATTACAATTCTGAAGAATTTTAATACTAGCAGAGATATATATGATGGCCTCATAGTGATATTTGCAAAGTGACTGGTCGTGCCCAAAGCGATTCTGGTGAACTGCCCGTCCTCAGCCACTGGGTGACAGACCCTCTCGGACCCCTGCACCAGTGTCTGTGGTCCTCAAGGAGGATGGGGCTCACCTAGCTCCGGCCCCAGTGATCAGCAGGCCAAGCAATCTGACTTGCAAATAAATGTAAGCCTGGAGTTCAGGATCTATAGGGTGAAGGAGAAGGAGCAGAGAAGGTAGAACTGTGGGAGAGGAGAGTAAGAAAAAGGAAAACAGGGAGCCAAGAGGGAGAAGCATAGGCACCCACGTGCCCAGGAAGCAGACGTGCCTACACCGGGAGCCACCTGACTTGACCACTCACCCTCCACTCACTTCATCAAGCCACCAGATGGGCCCACGTCACAGAGCGAGGCGCCGTCCACATGAGTGCTGCTCAGGTCAAGGCCTGGACACAAGCCCCTAAAGCGACCCCTGGGACCGCTGTCATCGCCGTGGAGCCGTGTCCACTCTGTGCTCAGATTTGGCAAACGTGACCTGCAGTACTTGGCCGAGGCTTCTCCACTCTTCAAACTCAAAACAGCTCAAAAATATGCTGCTATATGAGCACTGATGCTGAATGTTCATAATATAAACTTCAATTTGAAGCAACAATGTTACACAGTTCAGCTGTTATTACCAACCTACTCTGTAAGTTAAATATACAAACTAAAAATTAACTTTATTGAGTAACTAAAAATAAGTTTCCACTGACGTAAAACTGTCAAATGGGTAACTCTCTCTTAACTAGGAGAGATGCAAACGGGAGCAGACACAGCAGAACATAAAATACAATCTGTCATTCTACCCTAAACTCTGCACTTTCACAATCTCCCGTAACACAGTGTACAGGATTATGGTTGTCCTTTAACATACCCAGATGTCAGCCCTGCAGATCACAAAGCGTTTCTAACAATTTACCATAACGTTAACAACTGACACAGCACTTAGTGCTGATCAGTCTGTCTTACGTGTGCGGATTTATAGTCGGGATAAAGGCAGAAAGGCTGAAAACTGTAGGGTTAAAATTTGGGTATAGTACCTATCTTCAAGGCTGAATGAATGTTTTGTAAGGTGATTCAAGAGCTAAAATGCTTGTTTTAACAAATCAACAAAGGGATGAACTGCTCTAGGAAGGAAAACTCCAACCTGAGGGTCACTCATACAAGGGAAGAACGTGACGTACCCGTGACGTACCCTTGACCTTGGTCAGAAGCACATAGCAGAAAGCAGACCTGGGAACTCATGAGCAGGAGGCTAGCGTGTCTCCCTGCCGACTTCTGTTAGAGGACCAGAGTAATGCCACTTCACACACCAGGAAACCTCTGGTGCCTCCGTGGGCACTGCCCACTGCCCCGAGCTGCTCTGAGTGACCCCCCGACTCAGCGGCCCCTCTCCTGCCAGCTGCACGTGGCACTGAGCACCCCCCCTGTCTCCCAGGCTTCCTGCATCCTCAGGCTCTGGCCTTCTACCCCCTCTTCCTATCCCGAGTCTCCTGCCGTCAGGTACCACCTCCAACAGGATCACTTCCCTGAAGAGCTTAAAGTCAGCTTCACTTGGAAAGATTACGCTCCCAGGAAGGAGTGATTCCTGGCCAAGAGAGAGGTCAGAGCTGCCATGACTACGTGTCAGGAGTGTCCAAGGGCTGGGCAGTCTACTCTCCATAAATCAACTCACAATTAAAGGGAAGAAGGAGCAGTAACAAGCACTGGGTTCCCTTTTGGTTTCTAGGAAAAGAGGCAACGTGAGCATCAAGGACAGCAGTGTTATCTGAATATTCTGAGCAGGTAACTGGCAGCACTACAAACATGCTCTCCATGGGGAACCCTGAAGAGGCGTCTGGCAGTGTTCACTAAAATACTGCAATGAACTGCTATATTCTTTAGCTTGGGCATAGAAATAAAAATCGTGAACTTCTAAAGTATTTGAGTTTAAAAAACCCTCAAATTTCCCCAAAGACCAAAACAGACAATTGAACTTAATTCTTATAAATCATCAAATGTTTTATACCAGACTTGCAGCTAATTATGTGACTAGGGCCAATATAAATGACTTTACTAAATAAACCACTTGTTTAGAAAGAAATTCCTTCCTAATCAGAGCATGAAAGGCAAGATTCCACACCCACCCCCCCACCACAGGAAGGAAAGGAGGGAGAAAGGGAAAGAAAAGGACTTTATTTTTTTGAACCTAATTTAAACCTCTTAAGAAAATTCCACAATAATCAAGATCTCTGTAAATACCGTCAATATATGCGAACTTGCTTGAAAAACTACAGTTACAGTTATATTTACATTTTTGGAAACTTTCCTTCACGGCCATGTCACATGCTG